ACGTTGAGTCAAATATTGACAAACCCAACCACTGGGTTAGAAAACATCATTTCAATTTAAGAAAATATATTAACCCAAACATGGGGTTGTACAAATTTGACCCAATGTTGGGTAATGATAATCTGGTATTTTTAGGTTGTATAAAATATGTACTGTGTTTTAGAAGTGCTGGGTTATTTCAACCCAAATTGGTTAAAATATGAGCGAACCTGATTGTTCCCTTAATAAATGTATTGTAAATGTATTGTAAAAAAATGTACCTAGTAATTTGTTTTGTCCACGTTTTACCCCAAATTTGGTTGAAATAGCCCATATTTTTATGTAAACACTCTAAAACAACACTGAGTGGCTGTAGCCCAATGTTTGGTTAAATATCGGCAAACCAAACTGCTGGGTTAAAGTGTGATTTTAAATTTAATTGGAAAAAATTATGTTTGTCCCAAGAGTGTAAGTTGGACATAATACACTCTGAAATATACTGGGTTATTTTAACCCAATTTGGTTAAAATATTAGCAAAACTAAATGTTCTCCTATAAAATGAATTCAAAAAATTTAACAGAGTAATTGGGTTTTGTCCACATTTTAACACAAATTGTGTTGAAATCACCCTAACCCTGAATGATAAGCCAGAAATAACTCTAAAATTTAAGTTGCTGTAGCCAAACGTTGAGTCAAATATGGACAAACCCAACTGGGTAAGAAATATTTCAATTTAATTATAAAAAAAAAAAACGAAAAATGGGATTGTCTAAATTTGACCCAATGTTGGGTTTAAACAATCTCGTATTTTTTAGGTAATGTAAAATGTTAGACATAATACACACTAACCAATTTGTGTTATAATAACCCAGCACTTTTTAAACCCAAATCTTGAGCTATGAACAAATTGATTTTGTCAAAATTTAATGCCAAATAGGGTTGAAATGACCCAGCTTTTTATAAATATCCCTGGGGTGGAAAAGTTACATTTTTTTCATAACCCAACATTGGGTCAAATATGGACCAACCCACACAATTGTTAAATTTCTAAACTGAATTTAAATTAAACTTTTTATACTCAAAAGTTTTGTTTGTCCATTTAAACTAAATGAAAGACTTTAGTATAAGTAACCGTTTATTAAGTGGCTTAATACCTGAATATTATGACGATATTAACTGTTTATTAGCCCTTTTAATGTTCATAATCTTTTTTTTACATCTCTAATCCTACCCAATACCTCCTTACTAACAGTTAATAAGCAGCTAATTAGTATAGTTTGAGCTAAAAGTAATGTTATGTAAATGATTTGTTAATAGCATGAATTGTACATAAAAAGTGTGAACAAACATTTTAACTCAACATTGGGTTCCAACAATAACCCAGCATTTTTAGGAAAAGATGATGTGGCATTGGTTTCAAATCCTGTAATAAAGTGGTCTGATTTTATAGTCATATCATTGGGGAAAAAAAGAATAAATGCATCCCTGATGTTTGACTATCAGATTTTTGCGGCATCGTCATTTGAAAAAGAGAATATTTACAAAAACTGCAGACAGCAAAACATCACCTCTGTGTGTACGAGCTAAGCATATTTAACAGCGGAGAGGAAAGAAATAGCCAACAAATATATCAGCTGTGCAGTCGGGGCCCATTTTACAGCAATTACCAGCGATATTCAGTGTTTACACGTCTAGAAAACTCATCTCTCGCAGCCCTTGTAAAGCAATAAACAGATAAAACGCCGGCGCTGAATGAAGATGATTGGATAGTTTGGACAGTTCAGATGGAGCCTCTTGACTTACAAAGCTTCGAATCCAGTCAATTGTGAAATAGCAGTATAAATATACACCCTAACTCTGAATTTACTGGAGGGATTAGAGAGCTTTTCAAGTCCTCGCAGCCTCTTTTCATGGTGTTGTGTACAAAAGCGTTGTATTACCGCTGTAAGCCACGGGGCCCGACTCGCTCCTCTGATGTTTGTTGATGTCGGACTTTGCTTTTTTGCCAGCAGAAACGGCCGATCTGTGCTAATCCTGCCTTTCTTGCGAAGAGTTTACTACATTTCTGAATTTACACGTTTAATGCCTTTTTAAAATGCTCTTTGAACATTTTTAGCCCCGCGCTCTTTCCGCATCACGGCGGAGGGAAAAAAAGGGGGCAACACACATTTTGACGCTTTATGTGGAGCATAAATTTAATATCTCCTCCACTTAAGAGTACCGTCCCGTAATCCCCCTGCAATAAATGTTGACTTGTGCTATTTAAATTCACAATTTATCCACTCTTATACCCACGAGGCCACTGTGACACTTATTGAGTCCATGTATAGGCGAAGCACAGTAAAAAAGGCACTGCAAACCATTCTGAGAGGAGTTTCCAAAGTAAATATAAAAACACTCTTTAAAAAAATAATAAAGGCTTTTTAGTTGATTTTTATATTTGAATTAATTCATTTTTATAGTAGATCCTGATCTGATCGTTTATTGACGATCCTCAAATTTGGCCTTGGAAAATATCGACTGCAAAACAAAATGGCAGCATCTATCCACAATATGTTCTTGTTTTTAGGGAATTTCGTGAAACTGATGGCAAAACTGCTGCTTAAAGGGATAGTTCACGCAAAAATCTAAAACAGATCCTCATGAATTTCTGTTGAACAGAAAACCAAATATTCTGAGGGAAAAGCCGCCATTGGCATCCATTCTAAGACCAAGAAAATGTAAAATACTTTGGAGGTCAATAGCTGTTTTTTCCCTGGCTTGATTCAGTGTATTCAGCAATAAAATTACATATTCACATTTCAGATTATCTATATAAACATGTGATCACCTAACATATAACAATAAACAATTCTTAAGATGTGCAACATTCCTATTTGTGTAATACTGGTCTAAACAATCCATTTGTGCAGGATTTTCCTATATAATATGCAATTTTTACATTTATTCATAGAAAAATTGTCTTTATACAAGCAGAAGATGCTGGGAATTATGTCCAGGCTCTTTGTTTGAGTTTCGTTTATATTAACTTTGATATGTCTTGTTTTGTATTTGCTCTACTGCAAATTTGTAAAATTTGTACACCCAGGGTTTGCACTTAATTCCATACAGTTATTCGATTATATATTTCCCTGTGTGTTGAAAAACACTGAGAGTAACTCATAACTTTAGTGTAGGATGAGTAAATAATGAATAATGAGAGGATTTTCACTTTTGGGTGAACTATCCCTTTTAATATAATTCCTCTTTACGCATATAAAACAGCTCTATTTCAAAAGTCCTTAATAAAAGTGGTTTGATTCATGTGTATTTAAAGTTTACAGAGAACGCGTGTATAATTTAGCCACAAACAAAACCACAGATTCCAGAATGGGCATTGATAAACTCTTCATATGATTATTATAAATGGCACAGATGATTGATGTCTAAAGATCCTTTAAAACAGTAATTGAAATCATGTTAACAGATGATTGGGATTACAAAGTACTTTGGCCTCTTGCACAAATATTCTACAATAAATGTTAGACACCCAAATGAAAAATACTGTAGTAATTTATAGTAAACACTAGTGTTTTAAAACCATAAGGTTAACATGTTGGGAGTAATTATAGCTACTATTGTAAACAACAACTATAGGCTAATAAACAAATGACCCACGTTTTCCATATTACAATTTATAGGCCTAATACACCACAGTTTACTGTAGTAGCAGCTAAAATATACTTGTATTTATTAGTTTATCATAGACTGTAAAAAGTATGCGATCAATTAGTCATGACAGCGTATGTTTTAGGTCATTTCAACTTATTATGCTAAGCTAATCACGTTCTTACTTAAATTTATAAGTTTCACAAGCTGTTTTAAGTTGGTTTAACCTAATATGAATTCAGTAGACTCCAAGTTAATTTGATTCAGCTTAATTTAAGGCAGCAGAATTTTTTTAGCAAACAAATGACCCACGTTTTCAGCAATACAATTTATAGGCCTACTACAATACACCAGTTTACTGTAGTAGCAACTAAAATATACATGTATTTATTAGTTTATCATACACTGTAAAAATTATACGATCAATTAGTCATGACAGCATTATGTTTTCAGGTCATTGTTACTTATTAAGCTAAGTTAATCATGTTCTAACTTAAATTTATAAGTTTCACACACTGTTTTAAGTCAGTTTAATATAAGTTCAATGGACTCATAAAAATCATTTGATTCAGCTTAAAGATTTAAGCCAAACAGGATTTTTACAATGTATAGTAAACAAATGACCCACATTTTCAACAATAGGCCTAATACACCACATTCTACTGTAGTAGCAACTAAAATATACTTGTATTTATTAGTTTATCATACACTAAAGTGTATGATCAGTTAGTCATGACAGCATGTGTTTTAGGTCATTATAACTTAATGTAAATTAATCATCTTCTAACTTTAATTTAAGTTTCACAAGCCGTTTTAAGTCAGTTTAAAATAATATAAGTTCTGTAGACTCAAAGTTAATTTGATTCAGCTTAATATTAAGGCAACCAGGATTTTTTAGTGTATAGGCTAATATAAACAAATGACCCATGTTTTCAACAATGCACTGTGTAGGCCTAATACACCACAGTTTACTGTAGTAGCAGCTAAGATATACTTGTAGGCCTATTCATTAGTTTATCATACTGTAAAAATTATACCATCAATTAGTCCTGACTGCATATTTTTAGGTAATTATAACTTATTAAGCTAAGTTAATCATGTTCTAACTTAAATGTATACGTTTCACAGGCTGTTGTAAGTTGGTTTAACATAAGTTCAGGAGACTCATAAAGTTAATTTGATTCAGCTTAAATACTATGCTTTAGATTTGTGCTATAAATACCATTCATACACTTTAATTGACTATATAGTTCTTATAAAAGAACTATAGTGTTTACTATAAATTACTACTGTAGTATTTTGTCATCTGGGTTAGCTAAATGGTTCCCATACCAACTTCTTTTTAAATATAAAAAAAGATTTACGCATCGTGTACAGTTTAAAAGCACAACGCTTGTTCGTTTCATTCTGGAAACAATAAATACAAAAAAAAAAAAAAGAAAAGAAAAGCTAAATATTCGCCCTCTTGTGCTCGAAAGTGAGTTCTTTGCACATCTCCAGAGTCAGTTTGCTGTCTCTGGTTCTGTGTAACACCGCCTGGTTTATTCCGTTCAGGTGTGTCGAGTTCCCGCCACTGCCGCCGTTCAAATGTCCAAAGGCGCCATAGTTCGAGAAACCCGCGAAAAATGGAGACGCGTAGTACAAATGTCTGGCGGGAAACGTGCACTGTGGTGACCCCGCGCGTGACGTATGTGACACCTCCTCGCGCCCTTTATCCGACGTAGCGATTTCTGCCAGAGACCAGAGTTTGGGTTTGGGGTTCGGGGAGGGGATGACAGATGTGGGCTTGCAGTTTCCGCTGAGGGGCTTAATCGTGCTTTCACTCAGTTCGTCTTGGGGAGAGGAGGTCGTGGGCACCGGAGACTCTGTCCGGTTTTCCTCTTCTTCCCCGCAGTCGATTATCACACTGTCCGTGGAGTCGTCGTGGTCTTCCGCACGGGTTTCTATACAGATCAAAACATAACAGACTTAATAATGACGCAAAACAACAATTACAGTATATAAATAATAAATATTTCATTGATTTTCTCTTACTCTGTGTACAAACTAAAACCTATTAACAGGATTACTAGACAATTATAATGCATGGCTTTTGGTTTGTAGGATCATGAGATATAATTCATAATTACTGAGGTGATTTTTATCTACAAACAATGGTAGAATGTTTTTGTTTTATTTAACTAGCCTTTACTTCGGAGCCTCATTGCCCGCCATTATAATAATGACATCATTTTCAATAGTTTAAAGGGTTTAAAAGGATTTGTGGTTTAGTAAAAAAAAAAGATTTTAAAAAGAAAAACATCTGACTGGAAAAAGTCTCAAATCCTTTTTTTTTCTGTTTGAAATATTATGTTTTGTTATGAAACGAAATGTCTTAATATAATAATGATGATAATAATAATAATACATTGTTATTTTTAACCGTAATACAAACTGTTATTTGTATTTTCTCAAACTCAGTGTAACCATACTGAAGGTTATTTTGTGACATTAAATAAATTAAACACATAATATTTGACAATTGGGTTATTTGTCTATTTATCTATCAAGCCTATTTGTTTATTTATAGCCCTTTATGTAAATGTACCTCATTATAATTTCTTAAACCCATATGGAGACTTATTAATATTCAAAACTCAGAAATTATTTCATTCATTTTCCTTCGGCTTAGTCCCTTTTATTTATCAGGGGTCGCCACAGTGGAATGAACCGCCAGCTTATCCAGCATATGTTTTACACCGCGGATACCCTTCCTGCTGCAACCTATCACTGGGAAACACCCAGACACACTCATACGGCCAATTTAGGTAATCAATTCCGCATGTGTTTAGACTGTTTGGGAAACCGGAGCACCCGAAGGAAATCACAGTCCAAACTCCACACAGAAAAGCCAATTGGCCCAGCCAGGACTCGAACCAGCGAGTTCTTGTTGTGAGGCGACAGTGCTAACCATTGAGCTACCATGTCGCCAGTCCCGATAATGATTAGGTTGAGTTGCAGAATACTATAAATGATTGAGTTGACAATTGGCAATAGGCTAAATTAAGTTGATTAAAATCTTTGTTTGTGATCTAAATGTTAAAAAAAGGTATATTTATTTTTAGAAAACTTTAAAAAACCTATATTAAACACGCACAACTAACACCAAAATAGACAAATAAAGCGCACCTGAATCTTTGGTGCTCTCGGCTGTCTTCATGGGCTCATCATCTTCATCATTTTTCTCCAAATCAATGCTGTCCTCTTCATCCTCATCCTCGCTCCGCGTCCTGGGCGTCCACGTCATCTTGTTTTCCTTTTTCAGCCTCCTGCGCGCGTTGGCGAACCAGGTGGACACTTGAGTGAGGGTCATTTTGGTGATGATGGCCAGCATGATCTTCTCTCCTTTGGTGGGATAAGGGTTTTTGCGGTGCTCGCTGAGCCAGGCCTTCAGGGTGGCGGTGGCGTCGCGCGTTGCGTTTTTCCGGTAAGCGGGGTCCCCGAACGGGTACGGGCCCAGGGGACCGGCGTACGGGTGATAGCCGATGGAGCCGGTCATGCCTGGAGAAGGGTCATATGGGGAGCCCTGGGCAATGAATTAATATAGATTACATTGAGGATGGAAAAAAAGGCACAGATGAACTGTAAGCGACTGTTATCAGATTGCTTCAGGAATATGCAAGATATTAACTGCATGATGTAATGATAATGCACTTGAATCATTTGATTGTCATCTGTTGCATATTGATATGAATGATTCATACATTAAAATTATAGCGTGATCAAAATTGAACGAAAACAAATATTATTCCAAAGATTAACACATAATTTCTCCAATTAAGGAACAGTTATAGGCTATATTTTGAAGCTTTAAAAACCCTGACTAAACAGCCAAAGTACAAAAACAATTGGTATTTTAATTATAGCTTATTATTAAATGTTTTATGTTTCTGGTAGGTTATGAAAAAGTCGCAATATTTCGATTTCGCAATATTCAATATTGTTATATCATTATTTTTATTACTAGGCTACAGTTTTTACATCATTTTAATAACCTTAATCGTCTTTTCCCCCTAAAAAAGTTTTAAGGAATTAAAAGGTTGGATTTTGAAGATTTTAGGCAATCAAAACTTAACCATTTATTTGTTTTAACTGTCTAAAAACTGCAACTTAATGTTGGCGTTTTCTAGAAGAAAATTAAGGAAGTTTAAAGTGTTTAAATGTTTTTATTTATAGATCTATAACAGAAATAAATTCCCGACATCCATCAATCATTTTAAAAATGCTGAACGTTAAGGTGCAAATATGGACAAACCCAGTGGGCCTAATCTTTGTCAATTAAATTAAAATAACACTTTTTGACGATTGTTTTAGTCCACATTTGACCCAATATTAAGTTATAACATTCCTGCATTTTTTTAGAGTGTGACGGTGTCATATAGTCGTCACCACTAACCATAAACCTGCAAATAAAGAAGCTCTTGATTATGAATGAAACTCACCCCGTATGAAGTGAAGGGGGCTGCGGATTCTGGGCTGTACTGGAGGGAGCTGAAGGCGGCGGTGGTGTTCGTGAAGGCTGTGGACGCATACGGGGCGAAAGCAGATCCACTGGAGGACCGTCCCAGATCGTCCGTTCGCGGTGCCGTTATCCCGGTGGAGCCGTACGGCGGACACGAGTACAGAGACAGCGACGACTGGTACAAGTATCCCTGTGGAAACGCCATGACCAGATTACCGCTACAGTCACCTCTGTACTCTCATCCTATGTTCCATCGAAGGAGGGGGAAACACTCAAGGCTGATCAACTCCTGATATTAGTAAGTGACACATTGCATGAGCTGAAGAGCGTCTGGAGTTCCGCGCGCTTCCTCAAGGAGACGGAAAGAAGAGCTCAAGCTGAGTTTTCCTTTCTCTCTCTCTCTCTCTCTCTCTCTCTCTCTCTCTCTCTCTCTCTCTCTCTCTCTCTCTCACACACACACACACTTCAACTTAAAAAGAGCTTTATTGGCTTGACTTGTATTACTTGAAGTATTGCCAGAGCATTGCACATTACATAAACAATGAATAAAATTAAGTGGTTATATAACAAACACACACACACAACTGAATCATGGATAAACACATAGGTTACACAAGAAATAAAAAGTGTATGACTATTTTAAAAAATAATAAAAGTAAAATAAATGTAAATAATAATAGCCTAAATACAATACACAACTGTGCATCCGTGCAGAAGGTTTGTGATGTCTCTTTCTCTTGAATTTTGTAATGGGGCAGGCTCAGTTGGCTGTCTAGGAAAAATTAAACTGAACAGAATAGTTGTTGCGTTTTCCAACATACAAGCAAATATAATGACACTTGAAAATATTTGGTACTTTAACAGTGCGGTGTGTTGTTTTGTTCTCCGAAACTGATGATTTTTACCTTTTATAAATTGCTTTCATGTCATGTATGCATAGTAGTATGGTGTTTGTTTTAAAGTCTGCGTTCCGTAGTCTACTGTTTTGAATGTCTAGTCAATGTAAATGGCTGAGTCTTGCTTTTCTTGAAATGTCTAAAATAAAACATGACACTTTTTGAGTTCGTCATTGCTGTTTATTTATTACTATTATTAAATAAAATTTTTTTTTTTTTTAGCTGTAACTGGTTAAGTTTTAAAACCCCCTAGTAAAGTTATTGTTGAGCTATTCGTTAAGCTTTTATTTTAAGACTCTGATCATTCAAAGTCGTGAAATATTTTATGGGAACGTTATAATAATGTTAGGAGGAAAAATTACTGGATATGGATGGATGGATGGATAGATAGACTATTACAAGTATATTTATTTACATTTTAGCCTACAATCACAGACATAATATATATAAACTTAAAGATTTATGACTACAGCTAAAATTATATGATTAAAGTAGTAAAATAGGGTATGAGAACGTTCTAAGAATGAGAACGTTAGCCGAAAGGGGGACTTGCAGATTATCTATCTATCTATCTATCTATCTATCTATCTATCTATCTATCTATCTATCTATCTATCTATCTATCTATCTATCTATCTATCTATCTATCTATCTATCTATCTATCTAAGGAACTTTCGACAACTTGGATGATCGTACAAACATGGATTCACCACAAAAGCTAAGAATTGCGAGATCTTTTCTAGACTAGTGCAAACGCCCCACAGCAGACTAACCTATTAAACGTGTTTATTAACATTTTAACCTTCAATAACAGACATATTCTAATTTACGGGCTATAATACTAAAGCTTTAAGACCATTACTAAAATTCTGTACACATTCATTCCGCTCTTAATTCGAATTCAAACGTGACGTGTTTACACTATAAGAGTCGCGATTCTGAATTATTTTTTTAAAATCAGTTTCCAACTTCAAAGTTTTCCATTTTCAGTGCTTTATACATGCATGGCATGAAATAGCCTAGATGTATTTTATAAAGCGAGATAGAGGAAACAATTTCGCTGTGATATACATCCAGGCTATTTTATGCCATTTTTGCGATATTTATACTTTAACTATGTTACTTTAATTTAGTTTGTTATTTATTTGTGCTTGGCTTGCAGACAGTGTGATAATCAGCAGAGGACGCGTGTGAGTTAATCCTCCGAGATCCTCTGCTCAGACACGAAGCGCACAGGAATCCCGGCAGTATTAACATGACTTCCACGAATCCGACCGAGGCAGGAGAAGACCCTTTGACTGAAGACGGTGGCACACATGATGCTCAATCCAGGCACGAGCTGCCAGAGACACAACGGCCTACCGGAACAGGTAAAGACAGGCTGAAGGATCGCTTGTGAGCGCGCGTGCATGTGAGCGCGCACTATAGGCCAGGTTATTACACCTAAAGTGCTCGCATAAACGGTTTATCTTCACATCTTCCCTTATCTAGACACCTCTCAACAAAACATAAAGGCATCGCTTGGATTCCTTGAACAATTTAAACATGCACAGAGGTGACTAATCTCATTTACAAGCTCTATTAATAGACTTAAGTGCTTAATGCAGCGTGATGTGAAGGTATTCTAGAGCGAATTCATGCTCGTTATAATGTATTTTGGAGTTGCATGGATAATTGTAAGCCTATTATTTCATTATAATGCTTGATACCTATTGAAACAGGGCGTTGATGCATCATAACCTAATTATTCATGAGAACATTATAGTGTAAAAGACATTAGTATCAATTGCATTATAGTTACAGGCTTTGAAAGACTGAGTAAACAGACTTGAATTGTCTGTATTAAAGATCTAACGAGTTTAACTCATTTGTGTTTTCATCCAGATGAAGCGGACCAGGGAAGACTCACATTTGCAGTCAATGAAAAGGTAATTTTAAAAGGTGGTTGATGTAAGGATTAAGGTTAAAGGGGGCCTGTTATGCAAAAACCACTTTAATAAGGGGTTTAAACACTGTTGTGCTTCAGCAGTGTGTGAATATAACCAGCGTCTAATGGTAAAAAATGTATTAATCATTGTTTATAATCGCACTTGATTAAAACAGTCTGCAAAAACACTTTGATTGACATTCTCCCTTTGTACGTGTCATCAGAGGTGGAAAACCCCGCCCACTAGTGACCATCTCTCCCTGATTAGCATAAACAGCCCTGAGTGTAAAGCAGTCTTCCTACATTTTTCACACAGATAACATTAGTCCTCTTTTGAATCTGCCACTATGCTGACACACATGCTTTTGTAGCTCCGCCCTCTTTTAAAAAGGGCACAATCTCATTTGAATTTAAAGTGACAGTCACCAAAACGCCACAATTTGGATCAAGGCTGAAAAAGAGTTGTGGGCAGATTAAGAGAGTTATGAACTATTATATGTGTGGTATTTTGAGCTGAAACTTCACACACACACTCGACATTAGAGACTTATTTTAGATCTTGTAAAAAGGGGCATATTAGGTCACGTTTAAGTCAATTTTTATTGAAGGATGCCGTTTATCAATATCCATTTACATTATATGTTCATTTACACTATAACAAGGTATAACTTCCAACAGCTTAGCCACCATGAGTAAAAGCTATACACAATTTAATATTTTTATGTATTTGTTTACGTCCACTATACTAGTCAGAATTTCTTAGATAGCACACGTACGTCTGCAAGATGTATTTCAAAAAACCAACACAGGCTTATTCTGAAAACGTAGCCCAATATAAATTTCTGGAGGTCGCGAATTATGTAGCCAGAGCTACGTATGGCTGCGTTTCGACTTTAAAACGAGTGCTAAGCGTGTGGGGGGGGTATAACGCCGCTCCTTTTCAGTGTTACCACCAAACTGCTTACCTCCATATGGGCGGCTTACCAGGTTACCAGTTTAACCAGTAGCTCAACGGGCTTAAAGCAGAGGAGTGTTGACCAAAAACAAGTAAGACAAAAACAGAAGCTGAAAAATAAAGTAAATAACAGGTTGAGAATGTGGTAAAATCTGAAAACGTGGTAAAAATCAGGTGAGGGCTTTTCTTTTTCTGGATTGCTTTTTAAAACTGTCGCTTGGGTTTAGGGTAGTGGGTGGGCGGGTCTGTGCTTTTTAAAACACTATTGGTTGGGTTTAGGGAAGTAGAATGGTGGGTCAGTCAGTCAACAGCGGCCTCTTGTGGATTTGCGTGAGAACAGCAGGCGTGAATGGAGAAATTTGAGATCTCAAAGCATACACAGCGGCCTCTGGTGGATTTGCAAAAACATACCTCCTGGGACCAGGGTGCAAATTATACCTTGGCGATCGAGGGGGTCAACTTTTTCGGTAGTAGTTTGGTAATGCTTCAGTGAATCAAATTCATGAATGTATTTAAAGTACATCTCATTTAATAATAATATATATACGTTTTTTCATGTTTTGAGAGATGCGTAGTTACAATTTTAGAGATTATTATCGGTCAAACTATACAAATTATGGGTCTAATTTAGCTTTTTTAGACCTCCTTTACAAGAAATGTGTTTTGTGAATGATTAAGATGTCTTTCGGTGTTCTAGAACTGCCAGTTTCAGACTGTTTAATCAAATTTTCCTAGCATTGATTGGCGCAATTATGCATTCACAATGGTATGAACCATTATGGGGGGGTCAAATGTATATTTATATTACACAATTTTTTTAATTATTAATATTTAAGATATAAATCAGAGATTAGAGAAAACTATTTCTTACTATTAAAGGGCTGACCCCCCACCCCCCCATACATCTTGTGTTGATATTCTTCAGGGGAACCAAGCATTAATTAGAGACGTCAATCCCCCCTCAAACCCCCTTTAATTCGCACCCTGCCTGGGATATTTTTGGCGCTCTCCAGAAATGTATATAGTGGTACATTTTCAGAATGAGCCTGGGTTAAGAAAAACACTGCAGTGTTCAAAGGTCTGATATCTTAAAAGCATCTGCTGAACATAACTAAAACATCTTTAAAACATATTCTCTTGCATCCAAAAATGCACGTTAATATATATACAAGCAAACAATAAGTAAAGATATATCATAAATACGACTTACAGATGTATACACAAACATCATCATAAATGCGACTTACAGATGTATACACAAACATCAAACAGGGTCTAAAACATCTCTCTGTTTTGTTTTATCACAGAATCGCCCTTATAACTTTGATCTCCAGGCTAACAAAAGTAAGGGTTCAAGTTATAAAGAGCAGCATATTTGCATGTTTCGCCGTGTATAATGGGTTATCTCGGAAGGCTACACTTTTATTCAGGAGTCGATAACTGCAACGGCTTTATGAGCATTG